ATTGTGCTGCTGTACACCTGCCTGGATGACAGAGCGAGACCCCATCTCAAAAAAAAAAAAAAATTATAGTCTCTTACATGGGTAATATCTGTTTGCAAGTGTAGATAAACTATTTTTTTCAAATATGCTAAGCCTCATAGCAGAGTAGTTAATGCAATATAATTGACAAAAACAATTAAAAAGTATTTTTTTATATATCTCACGTTAACTAAGATGGGCCAGTGAGACAGTAAGTGGAACTAGGGGCTAGGATGAAACCCAGCAGAGAGCCCTTGTGCTTTTCTGGAAGGGTCAGGGCTGGCTCCAGGGTGGTGAGTCTTATTTGAGACCCCAAAACTCATGCCAATAATTTCAAAAATCTCTTCCCAGAAACCAAAAGCTCCTGCATCTCCCACCAGAGAAGAGGATCCCTGCTTTTCCTTTCCTAAACCACCACTGGACCCTGCGAAGATTAGAAGAATAAGCAGTGCCCGGGCTCGCTTATTCAGGGCGGCCTCCCAGGGGGCCCTTCTGCCGGACACATCCCTTCCTCCCACCGACTGTAAGGCCATGTAACCTCCTTTCAACTCTAGGGACAGGCATGTTTCTTGAATTTGCACACAAAAGCTATTTTTATATGATTTTTTTCTAACCCCCGATGATTTTTACATGAACTAAGACTTAGTTAATATTGGGCAAAAGCTGGTTAAGAAACATTGTTCATATATTTTTCTGGGTGTTTATAAAGAATATCTAAATATCACAGTTTTTTAAAAGACATAACTTGATAGGAAAACAATATTAGAATAAATGTTTCCTAATGAATGGTTCACATGTATCAGAAATAAATGATTTTTAAATTAGAGTTCAAAAAATTGTTAATTTCATTAGAAAATTAATGAGAATTATAAGATTGTTGTAATGTGCACTAAGCTTCGGTCTTTGATAATACCTTTCTGATCGCATGTGAATATGGAAGCAAAACTTGAATGGGACTTTTTCTACCACCACGGAACTGCTGCCAGGTGTCTAAACCTGGGAAAGACCTCACATCCCAAGAAGTGCCACCAACAATTGGAATCACCCACCATCCAGGGCATACTAAAGGTTTTCCAAACTGCAAGAAAGGACCCACTAGTGGGATGACAGTCAATTTAGTGGCTCACCCCAGCATTTAAAAAAAATGAAGTAGAATAGAATATAATGGAAAATATCAGGGTACATTACATACAAAAAGGGTAAGTATTGCTTCAGGAGACTTTACTTCCATTTTCTACAGAAAATGTAACAGTAAATCGATTTGTTACTGTGTGTGGTCAAAAAGTTGGAAAACTACTTTACCAAAAGCTGATAGAACCGGCCCTCCCTCAGTCAACAAGGATTGATGAAGAGAGATAGGTTTATAGTTAAAGAGAGACACAAACAGTCTGAGGAGAGATCCTAAAGATTACAAG